GACTTGTGGAGACATGCTGTGTCGGTGTGCTGAGTGAGATACGGGTTCTGCGAAATCAAACTGCAGTAATCTGCCCTATTGCCGGATCTATCCGCGCACTCAACTGTAAGTATCCTCAGCGGCTAAGAAGAATCCAACGGCAGCAGTAGCCCAGACTCCAATCACTCCAAGCCCAGAGGCTCCCTCCATTGCCTCATCATGGCGCTCCAGTGCAGTGAGTGCGTTAGGATGGCATTTATGGTTCTGACCGTGATGACGACGACCTCCGGCCTTGTGCTGCTGGCTGTGGGGATCACAGCTCTCGCCAAGGACGACTGGCAGCTGATAAAGCTGCTCGACACTGCCCTCTGCCCGGCCGTAGGAGGCGTGCTGACCGCCGTCGGTGGCCTGGTGACCCTCCTCGGGGTTCTAGCCGCCTGCGCCGTGCGGTTCGAGGACCGCCGTCTGCTCACTGTCTTCTTCTGGGTGACGCTGGGTCTTCTGGTGGCCTCCGGCATTGCACTGGTGGTGGGTTTCGGGGTCGGCGCGCAGACCGCCCTGCAGGACGTCCAAAGGCAGCTGTTCGCCTCCACCAAGAGGTACAACAGTGATTTTGAGACGCGTCGTCTGTGGGACGAACTACAGAAAGAGTCGCAGTGCTGCGGCGTCGAGAGCGGGTTCGACTGGTCACCCGTGATGGGCATAAACCAGGTGCCCAGCTCGTGCTGTCTCAGCCTGCCGGGTACCGGTCAGTGCACGGCCACGAAGGGCGCGTATAACGCCGGCTGTGAGCGGAAGGTATCAGAAGCGGCCGCGGCGTTCAGTGCTGTCACGGGCGCCACAAGTGCCGCAGTGGCCGTACTCCTGCTGGTCGCCATGGTAACGTCATACGCGCTCATCAAAGACTCGGAAGGTGGAAGTCAGTATTCGGTGCTCGGCTGTTCCGGATGATCATCTTGAGATGAAAAGGGGTGACAGGACAGTGTGCCTTGTAAATTGATTGACTGTTGTGCTTTCATTGGCGTTTATGTAAGGTGAATAATTACTGCCAAGACGAGTGTTCTTTACTGATGTTTATGTTATTGTAAGTCAATTATTAATAAAGGCCTGTGTGGAAAATGAGGATATGCAAGCATAGGTAGCGTTGTTATTCGGCAATCCCTACAACTAAATGCTTATTTGCCTGGCCCTTTCTATCCGAAACCGTGCTTACTTCTGACTTTTACAACCGAACTAATTTACTAAGTTATAAACTTATTTAGAAATCAATAACAAATTGACCAAATGTATGCAGTAGGTATAGGTATGCAGTGTTGCCATATGAAGATAGGCGATTTCAATCATGCGCAGTCTACCGAGTAAGCAGTATGCGGGGTTGACGTGCACGTCTGTAATGAGGGATGTCAATGAAACAGAAAACGCCGATATACGTATCTGGTCATCTCTGATCTTCGAGCGAATTTAATGTATACTCCCGGGGAAAGCGGTTCGTGTCACCCCTTAGTGTTTTTTCTTGTGATTGCTCATGACAAGAGCCGCAATTGCATTGGATGTCCTTTGATTTAGGCTGGATAAGCGGCACTATGCGCAATTTGGGTTGTCAGGTCAGATTACTTACCTGTGACGTCACATGAAAACATAAGTCGGGTTGAGATTAAACTTACAGGAGTAAGCTGCATAGGATCTAGGAACCGACTTACGGGTCCTAGCAACATGCAAAGGCCTCTCAGATTTTTATAAACGTCATCTGAAATCAGGTTGGTCTTTAGCCCTCCACATAAGAATTCAATCGGATAATATTGCAACGACTTGGTTTGGATACCGATATGTTTATCTGAAACCAACTTCAAAAAGCTTAAAAAGCTGAAAGTTGTGGCCGATAATGCCCCCCTCTCCTTACACACACGCACACATCCGGCCACAAGGCACAATTTAACCAATTTCGCGTAGTGACATGGCTGTCATTGCAACACCCACAAGAGTGCCCACCCCGACCCCAGCGGGCGGTTGACCGTCGGCATGCTGCTACAGTGCTACAGTCGGTGAGCAGACTGGCGGCCAGCGGTCGATTTGATAAACACAACCACCCGGCTGTGACGAAGAGTGACCTTCAGTCCACGGCAGACATTCAGGAAGTGACGGGCATTCAGCCAGCGGCAGACACTGCCAACAGTAGGCATTTAGCGAACAGACAGAAGACGCGACCATTAACAGAGCAATGATTCAAAAAAAAAAGTTGGTGAGAATATGATAAAAGATGGGCGCCATTAAATTGTAAATGCATGATGTATATTTTTATATGTATGTGTTGCACATTTCCCTAGACAAGCCTTCTTCTAAAATTCCTTTCACTGCGTCCGTCTTGAAGTGAGATAAGCTTGCTTTTACCAACTGACAAGTGATATTCGAGCACATAAATTTCCTGCTTTATAAACAGTTGCGCGCTCCCGCTGATATATAAAACTCATTTAACACATGTTGAAGAGTTAAGATAGTTATAGTGACAGCTGGCTTGTACGACTCCTCACAAAGAAAAGCGATTGCTTTCACAGCCTTATTTTTACATCAAGACACCTTATTGTTTCATAACTTAGACTCAATATCCTTAATAAGTTAAAACATTGCTAGCCTTTACAATTTTGAATGGGAGCTTCAAGCATTATGTGACCGTCGACATGATGCTCACCAAATATCATTCAGGAGGATGCTAGCTCTAACCAGCAACTGGCGGTGGGGGAGACTATGGCGGAAAGGCTCAAACAGGCTTGAAAATGAATTATCGGTCTGCTGGTGCCCGATTGACCTCAATAGCTGACCCAGGACTAAGTCCCCGTTGAATATCCCCGGATAAAGAGACAGTGACCCCGGTAAGCAGATCCGAATTAACTGAAGCTGCTGAAGCTGCATTAATGACCCCAGGGGCAATGTCAGTGTCCGGTAGGTGACCCCCGCTGCCGTGTCACAGCGCGCGGTAAGTGACCCGTGCTGCGGTGTCAGTGACCCCGGGCGGTGCCGCTGATCCCACCAGAGGACGTCACGTTACGGCAGCGTCACGCTCCGTGATGCTGCCGGCCACCGTGACTGGTGATCTCTGCAAGCATCGCCTCTGCTGCCCACGTCCGAAAGGCTCTTACACCACGCCATATATTAGAATAGTCGACCCTATCAACACAAGCACACCCGGCCGTTTCGATGCACGACTTGGCAGCGTCGTATTCGCCTCGGCTAAGACCGTGTCCGAGCGTGACTGCCGCACCCCGTCGGCCCGCCAGCGATGCACCGTCCAGTGCAAAACTCCCGATCAAGCCGCTCTTCGGCGGCGACTTGCCCGCTTTCGAACAGGGAGTAGATCATGTGGCATGGTATGGTATGGATTATGATATTATGGCGTAGGAAAATTAGCGTAGAATCAGGTGTAATCGAGGAACACATTTATTTTGCAAAACGTAACTTTCGTTCAAAATGAGTAAGGAAAATAAACTTAAAAAGTAATGCCAGGGTGACAAAAAAATAAGAAAGCTCATAGTTTCCTTATCAGAAGTGTTGCCATTCTTTAACGTTTCAAAACGAAGATATGATTGTAACGCTGTGCATTTTCGTCCGTAGTTTGACACATAACTCTGATACCTTACCTCAAAAAATATATTAACCCGCGCCGTGCTGGTGGCCTGAACTTTCCGCCGAGTGCTGGGGGGGGGGGCGTTTTCACGCCCCCCCCGTCTAACTCGGCTCCTGGGCCACGTAGCGACACGCGGTAAGCGGCAATCGAAAGAGCGTCAAAAATAAGGACGAAAACACTTCGGTCATTTTTTGGGTCAGGTCAAAGGTCAGGTCACCAGAGGTCACCAAAGGTAAAATGTTGACTATTTCAACATTTTGGAAACTGCCAACGGCTATCTCGGGAACCGATAGAGCTACAGCGCCGCGGAAAAGCGCATTCGATAGCCCTTTTACAGACCTTTCTGAGTAATGTTCTCAGATTTGACCTCAGGTCAACGGTTTAGCCTCCAGAGGGCAAAAACTCCAAAAATAGCCGTTTTTACGAAAAACGTTTTTTCGTCAATAACTTTTGACTCATAAGCGCCATGACATTACTTTTGCCAGCATCGTGTTCCTCTCGTCGAGACGCGTCGAATGAACTATTTGTTGACCTTGAAAGGTCATTTTGAAAATTTGACCTCAGGTCAAGGTCATGACCTGACCGAAAAGGGTCATGTTGCATATCAGTCGATCCGTATCGTCGAGCTGAACACATCTGACGTGTTTTCACCGCTCTAGCACGTCTCTATCAAAAGTTATAGCCAAAAAACTGCTGGCGACCGTTCATGACCTGAGATGACCTCAGGGGCACACAGAGGGGTCACAGGTGCATTTTTCCTATTCAGTGTGTCATGTTTACCTATGAACCGATGTTTGAGAGCGTTTTGAACGATATTCGTCCAAAAGAGGCGCATTTCAATTTTCTCCCATTGACTTATAATGGAGAGGTCGCAAAATTGACCTGACCTTAGGTCACAGATATCAAAAATCCGAGATATACATTTTATACATACTGTTACTCATATCAATCGCTGAAAGTTTCAAAGTGATCGTTCAGTCGGTGTAGCTATAGCGAGCCTTTGAACTTTTTCTGAGGTAAGGTCACTTGACGTGACCTGGTGACCTGACCTTGAACGGCCTAGGTCTGAAATTTTCACAACATGTGCGGAAATGATGTAGGAACACGTGTACCAAAAACGGCGGCGCTGCGCGCCGCCGTTTTTGAGATATTCGCGAAAAACCTGAGGGGGGGGCGTAAAAACGCCCCCCCCCCCAGCACGGCGCGGGTTAAATGTACATGTAAATGCTCGTACAATCAAATGAATCACATTTTTCCTAGGGGACTGCGTGCAAGTGCAGCAAATATACGCTTAGCAACACTGAGCAGTGAGCTGTAGTCCAAAGCGAGCGAGTTTTTCCCAGTCCGCTGCATGACCGCCCCTCCACCCTACAGGAGGAGATGATGCTGTAACCAGGATCTTGAAACCAACGGCAGTACATTTGATGTGCATACGACAGGGTTGACGCACCTGCACCACTGTGCAAGAAGACTCTGTACCTCATGAAACATCACAAGGTAGACGCGCTTGGGTGACACGTTCAGTCGGTCATATTGTCAACCGACATTCAACAGGGACCACATGAGGAAGGTACCGTTGCTAACAGACGAGGTGCCGGATGCATCCCTAGTCATACCCGCACACCAGAAGGTCTCTCTCTCTCTCTCTCTCTCTCTCTCTCTCTCTCTCTCTCTCTCTCTCTCTCGCCCCTCTTTCTCTCTCCCCTCTTTTCTCGTCTCATCTGTGCAACTGCAGAATTTAAGACATTTCCGTTGCTAGCACCACTGTTATGTCACCGAGAGAACTACAAAACGGGAAGCGGTTCGTCTCACATTGATGATTGGATGCCGATCCAGACACTCGTGCAGTGAACTGATAGAAACCTTTTTGGCCTTCTGAATGTTGAATTGTATTCCTGTCTCTCACGAACTTCACTTGCTTATGGGCAACAACAAATACTCGACAGCACGGCCCTCAAGCTCCCCCGTCAGTCGTCACCGAGTCAGCCTCCGCTTAGAAGTCACCCTCTTCCGACTCCCCGGACTCTTTTGCCTCGACGTCCGGGTGCTCGTAGGTGCCCATGAAGAGCATGGTGTGTGTCGGCTTGTAGTATATGACGTACATGAAGGGCCTGTCGCAGATGAACTGTTCCACCCGCGAAGGGTGGCCGGACCGGTTGTCCAGAAGCGCCGTGGCCGCTGCAGCCTCGGTGCCCTCCTCACTGATCTCCACGAAGGCCTTGTGCAGCGCGTTGCCCAGCGCCATGTTTCCGGACTTGGAGAAGCCGCTCAGGTCGGCGGTGGACCCATTGAAGAGCCGCTCGAAGCCGAGGTCACTGAGCACGCTGCTCAGTTCGTAGTCCTCCTCGACGCGGAACTTTGGGATGTGGATGTTCACTTCACCAGGGCTGATGAACTCGAAGGCGCCGCGCAGGATCTTCGGAGTCAGCCTGGAGATAGTGACATCCAGTGAACTGTCTGCAAACGGCAGCAGGATATACATACTGATCTGGTGGCCCAGGTACGGCAGTTCCAGCACCTGTGCCTGCAGCGGCTCCGAAGGACCGCAGTTGAACGTGCCTTCCTGCTGCATCATGCTCACCATGGAGACGTCCTCTTTGGAGGAGTGGAACGGCGCCAGCTGGGTTTCGTTCGGACGGAACTGCGACACCCAGGTGCCCTTGAAGTAGGCAGCGTTCACCAGGACCATCCGCGAGTTAGAATCCACGTACCCGGGTGGCACCAGCTCCTTGATGCAGTTGGCCGTCTGCTCCTCCACCCAGGCGTTGATGGTTTGCCGCGCCTCCTCGCTGGCCTTCCGGAAGTCAACCATCTCGATCTCGTTGTGGAAGAGCTCCTTCATGCACAGCTTCACCTTCTGCCGGCGGTCGAAGAAGAGCCGGTTTGCCACACGAAGCTCGTTTTTACCGGCGTCGTCAATCTTGTCGGACAGCTCCACATTCTGCCAGAACAGTATGAAGCGGAAGGCGCGCATGACGTCCACCTTGTTCAGGCCGGAGAGACCCATCGCCTGCGCCATCTCAGAGTGGGTGTCGCCTTCCGCGCCGAAGAACGCCAGCGTCAGCGCACTCCAGATCGAGTACGGAGAAAAGAAGAGGTTGCGACCCTGGCACTCCGGGTGCAGCTTTTGAAACAGCCGCACTGCGAAGTCGTGGGAACTACTGATGTAGACAACTTGGTTGTTAGTGACGTTGATGGCGGTGTCATCTCTGGTCATGCACTGCGCCTGACCTCCGGCCACAGCGGCCAACAACAGCAGTCCACAGAGCAGGATCTGCATCTTCGAAACAAGCGCAAGTATGCACCAGACGTCGCAGCTCACAGTTTTACACACCCAGAAGCAGAAATCGTCTACGAACACTGGCCGGCACTGCTGGCTGGCGCGCGGCGCAGAGGTCACTGGCGCGCGAGACTGGCGCCGGGCCGGCCGCACTGTTTATACCGCGGGGGCCGTCAGCAGAACGGCGTGACGTCACACACACATTTATACACACGGAGCAGCGGATAATGACGTCACTGGCCTCCCCGGGCTGTGGGTGGGTGCAGTGTGGCATTGTCCAAGCTAATTTACGGCTGCCGATACGATTTCCCTCGGCTGCTATGACCTATATGCTCCTATTTTAGTCGCCGTTTAGCAGACAGATGCGATGCAGATGATAATTAATGTCAGACTTAGTGCCACATAAGCCAGCGAAATCGTTCCGGAAGCTGGCACCTAACGAGGAGAGATTCAATACCGTATTAGCCTGTTTCGGTGAAACTGTATTACTTTCAGCCCAAATCTTCAATCAGAATATGTAGAATTGCATTATCATCAACGTCATCATCGCAATGTTTGGCGAACTACATTAATGATGTTTTCGTTTAGCAGGCGCGTACAAATATTATTCAAAAATAGTTTTATTCAGCTCATTCGCAGAACTCACAACTGAGTCACCTCTCTCCTACGCTGGAATGGGCCAAACCACCGTCAAATAACCGATCAGTCACCTTTTCCTGGCAATTGCCCGTCACAGCCGTCGGTCTGCCCGGCTCTAGGCAGCTGGAGGCCGCGGGGTTTCCACCCAGGACCGACACCGCCCGTGTTTATATACGGCTGGTAGTTGGCGCGATGCATGCCGGCGGCACTGCGGCTCGCCAATGTTTACAGCGACGCACCGGGTCGGTGCCGTCTCCGATCCTTATACCGCTGCCCGAGGAGACTAAATTGAATAACGGAGCCCACGCAACGGAAAAATGATGACGAGGTGCTTAGGTCAACACGGCATAAAAAGATACATTCAAGTTCTCTCACCAAATTTTCCATTCGGTGAAATCGCGCATCCAATACAGGTTGCTGAACATTTATAAGCACCCCTTTCCAAAAATGACACGGGTAACGGCGTATTGTTGAAGGGGGATGGTGAGTGGATCGCAAAAATTAATAGCAAAATACCGGACCTCTAGTTTGCGCCTTTGCCCTGACCTCAGAGGTCACCGGTTGTACTGAGACCTTAAAGTCGGGCTACAGTCGCTGCTTCTTGTAACAGTGCACAGCTTTTTCGAAAAGCTATAGGGCAACTAGGAGCGAAACGGCGAATGGAGTCGCATTCCCACCCTGTTCGGCCGAGGCGTATGTAAAAAAAGATAGGTCCAACAACGATTAAAAAAACTTATATGAAATATTATCAGTTTTTTATTGCTCAACACATTCACTTGAGTTACTACCACTGCTCCTTTGAATCGCCCCTATAAGCTATACAGTTACGCACTCTTTCTTGCTGGCCAGTGCCAGACCTAACCTGATAGCTGATCACGTCAGCTGATTGTCAATGTAGTCCTGCTCCGTCATGCAGCCCTTGTCGAAGTCCTCCAGCAAACAATAGCAGCCCGGGTACAGCGTGTCATTTGACTGCGACGCCGACATCAGGCTCGTCATTTTGGCTTTCCGCTGCGACAAGAAGTGTCCGAAGTAGGCAAGAAGGAAGAGAACGAACAGCACAGGATAGCCAACCAGGTAGACCTGCTCGAAGCCAGCCGTCCTAGCCAGCCACTCGACGCGTTTTTCGGCGACACGCACGCGCAGCTGCTGCTCGGTGAGCTCTGCGCCGCTCAGTTCGGGCGTGACGTCCGACGCGTCCGCGAACTCGTCCCCCTCCTCGTCCTCGTCCTCCAGATAGAGCTGGACGCTCGGCTCGGGCGTGTTCTTGGGTCGGACGAAGTCGAGCAGCGTCTCGAGCTTGCGGCCCGGATTGGTCAGCAGCACCACGAGCCGGATGTCGAGGATCACCAGCAGCACGGAGCTGAAGCAGAAGGCCACGGTGACGAACATCCACAGGTTCAGCGCTGTCACATAGCTGACCTTTGGAACGCGCTTGGCCTCAGTCTTGGAGACAGATAAGTACATGGAGATGATTGTCAGCAAATTGGTGCAGTTGAGCAGCAGGCGGGTCCGAAGCATTGTCGGTGGAACCAGAACGCTGAGCCAGGCGATCAAAATGAAAAACACGCTTGGCAAGAATACTTGAATGATGACATACTTGAAGTTCCGTTGCATTATGATCATAATTGTTTTTTGAGGATGCTTTCCAAATTCAGAGCGCCGTAGCTTCACTGCTGTGCTTTCACAAATTCTGAGCTGGAACAGATGATGAAAGCGGAGAAATTGTTGTCGGTTTTGCGGTTTGATTCCTAACTTTCCGAACCATTCTAGATTCAGCACATCGTCAGTGAGACCCATAGTGCCAACGTGCAAATTGCACACTTGGATATCCATGGGATATGACCCATACTCAAATGGACATCCCACGCGCATAACAATGTATGTGGAATAGAACGGCTGACGCGGCGAGAACACTGCATGATAGACAGTGGGCTTGATAATTCCATTTTTGGAAACAGATCGAACATTTTCTATGACAATGTCCGGTCTCCAAAGTTCACGAAATACATGTGTTGGCAGTCTAGTAAGATGCGATTTAGGTCCCGGCATTCCGTACAGACGAGGCTCTTCCCATGACACACGATAAAACAGCGATACTTCGATCTCGCCCATCACTTCGTTGATTTCCAACATGTTGATGAATTCTAGGGACAGATACACAGATACCCTGCCATCGGGGTCATCATCTTTTGCCATTGGTGGGAACTCCCTGTGGTACGTTGTTCTGTTTAGTATATCTGTAACTAATGTACCGCACTCACTTCCAGTGAAAAGCATGATCCAAATTAGCAGTACTTGCATCGTAACAAGAGCTGAACAATGCATTAGAATCCAGACTTCAGCGTTGAATTCGGTTATAGCTTGAAATAGATAGGAAAAGCTGGTTTCTTGAATGGAACCAGGATGATACTTGTTAAAAGCACCTGTAGAATATCAAAGTGCTATATAAGTAAAATTGCACCTGTAGCCTTTTTTGAGACATGAAATCATATAGCTAAGTATGGTGTCTTCAATAAAAATATAGCTTATAAGTACATATTGAGTGACTTTTTACGATCACATGCTTCACAAGAATCACATCATAAAAAGTGATAGCTTTTGCCGTCAACCTAAGAACAATTGTTACTGGAATTGTGCTACAAAGTGCTCCTAGCGTATTTTTCCAACTTCTTTGAGTACCTGGCTTTGAATCCTTGCTTTGAATAAGCATTAGCTTGTCAATGAGATATCACAATTTTACATTGGTGTGTCACGTTCAAGTACCGCATAAAGATCTTCTGTGTAAAGGGATTTCTATGCCATGAACGTTATTTCCACGAATATGAATATTACCTTTTTCGCAGACCACCGTAAAACCCGCGAAAAAGGGCGTATGCGCCATTACGAGACGCAACTTCTGGTACCCGATAGGTATCCAGTCAGCTCGTGACCTCTGAGGTCAAGTCAAGTGCCCAAGGTACTAAATCATCAAATTTAGGTAAGGGTTGTTTGGCTTTTGTTAAATAACTTCACCGGACATGATCGAAGAGACGCGATTTTGGTACCATCATGTTGATAAATGGTCATGTTTAGGTGCGTCGAATGACATACTTTTTGCTTGGTGAGGTCAACTCACAGTGTTGACCTCAGGTCAAGATCAGGTCAAATAAAGCAATTCACAACAGCCGTTTTCACGACGGGAATAGCGGTAACCTAATAGATGCCTGTTTGGTCCTTTGATGCCTCAGGAATTTTAGTAGCTTCCTTTGATGCCTCAGGAATTTTAGGAGTTCTTTGTGGTAGGTTTTCTACCTTCCGAGTAAGTGGCCCGTTACTTTGCTGTTTTTCTACTAAATATTACGATAATTTATTTTATCTAAGGGTTTACCGCTCACGTGAACCTAAAGCGTAAGCACGTTTATGAAATTACCAATCTATATAATGCTAGTAGGTACAATGATAAGGAAATTCACTGAGCTGCCAGCTGCGGGTGACCGAGCTCTCCCAATTCCACGTTGGCTTGGCTTTGGAGCCGCAGCAGACGGCGGAAGTCAATGTCACTGCTAAGGCTGCGGCGGATTTGTTGCGCCCGGTCACCACCAGGGCGTGCGCAGCGTCGGGCTTTTTCGATTTAAGAATTTTATCGATATTGTGAGTACCCAAACCGGTTATTACGAGCCACAGACGCCAATTTGGCTATCTCAACTCAAAATTAATGTCAAGGTGGGATGGTTACTTAAACACATTTCTGAGATTGACACCAAATGGGCCATTGAGGCAGCGGGCCACCAACTGCACCCATCGATACAGTGAGTCCATCCGGACCGCCAACTATGATAGGCCAACTGAAAAAGTAAGTCGTCAAGTAATTTCGTGATTCTGCCACTGAATGAAGGTATGAGCTAGAGTTCTTGAAAAAATATCAATATCTATTGATTAGAGGAGCCGCCCGGAGTCCCATGCCACTTTTGGTATCTAAGAATCTTAACTACGTGTTACCGCAGTTAAGATTCTTCGTTATGTTTCGCTTTAATCCACCTTAAGAAGAAAGCTGCGTAGGTGGATAATTGTCACTTCAGTTGGCATTTCCTCTTCAAACCTATCAAGGACGTCGGCGGGTACTTGCGCGCTTCCCAAGGCCATCTATAGAAAGTACAGTCACTTCCCCCCCCCCCGCCGACCAATCAGAGACAGGTCCTGAGTGACGTCACCCCTGATGCTCGCAAGGGGTACCCCATTCCTTTGCAACGTAAAAATGACTAACTTCATTTGAATATTATTGATGGCACTCTACGCATACCGCTCAGCCGTTGATGTCAATGGAAAGCCCAACTAATTTTCCAGCGACAAAAAAAGCAGCAATATGCTAAGAAATGGCCGTTTTTGAAGATATAGACGATTAAAAAACCCTCTGCAGCAGCAAGAAAGCAACGTAAAAACGCATCGATCTTAATTTTTACTATGGATAAATCATTTTTCGGGAAGTTTTTAGATATGGTATAGATTTAAGTACCAACTTTATTACAATATTTTCATTACTTGAAACTTTATTTCAAAATATATTTTCAAAAAATGGCAGATGTTGGCAAGTAGCTTTGGAGCGATTGTGGCGCACCGCGCCATTAATTGTCCTGGGACCCTCTTATGATGTCATCAAAAGTGGAGTGACATGAGCCTGGCGCTTCCTTTCAGCGTGTCAGTAAACAGCATTTGCCTTTGACTCTGCTGTTCAGAAGCCCTGCTCGCTGGGCATATTTGTCAGTCGATGTTTGAGCACTTAGCACCTGTCATTTCCCTCAACGACCATAGAGCATCTTGTCGGGCCCACTAAGGGGCTTCACGCTTGGCAAGTAGAGGCTTTTGCTAGATTACGAATACTGTGTACGCTGCCATGGATGAGTTCTTTATACGATCGATACGAAAAAGTTTGCATTCCCTTCGTGTCATAAGGCTGTTGCCGCTCAAGGTCTTACCAATACACTCAGCGCCTCCAACGTGTTCATTTCTATTACATCAGGCCATTCCGCGAGGACGCAAAGCCTTGCAACTTTCTGATATACCATCGACCCTTGCTCAGCCTTGCTGCCCCATGCCTGAACTCTGGTGAAGCGTCTGCCTTCTCCGTGAACCGTCATGTCTTCAAAGGTAGGCGTCGCCGATTATAATCTGCCAGAGGCATGGACCGCAGACCCACTGTCGGAGGTTGATGGTGAGGCCAGAACATCTGTCGACAGAACGGCAGGGGTGTCTCGGAGCTCACCGGTGTCGGTCCGGTGCTTCCTGTGCCTTCTGCGCGTCTGCGCCCTGACCGGCGGCACCAGCGGTTGGCGCGATCTGCTTCACGTCTCATTTGCCGTAATTCTGGGCACAGCTATCGCCGCCATTGTAGTTCTGGTGAATTTTAAGGCAGGCATGAGAGAGCTCAGTCAAGAAAAGAGCCCTGTCGAAGCGCTTGCCATCAGTGCCTTCTTCGGCCTCATGTTTCTGCTGATGTGGATTAACCTGATGCTTTGCTACGTGCTCAGTCGCCGCCGCGTCGGAAGTCTTCTCTGTAGAATCGGACGCACACTGGATGAGATGTCTGACATGCCAGGCTACGAGGAGAGTGTTCAGCTGCTGCACCGCGAGGTTGCCTGGCTGATGGTGACCACTATAGTGATGACAGTTGTGACGGTTGTCGTCGCATCCTACATGACATACACATTCGACTGCACCACGACGATGAGATGCTTCGTACTGCAGACATATGCCGTCGCATTTGATGTTTTCCACGTCAGCTTCGTTCTAAATATCCTAAAGTTTGCGTACATTGGCCTTCAGGTCAACTGCGGGTTTCGGATCATCAACACATCTCTTGAAGACTTCCTGAACAAAGAGTCACTTCTGCAAGAACACAAGGTGCTTGACGGGCTGATGAGGATCCAAGATGATTTGGCGCAGCTCTTCACTGGCACCACCAAGGTCATGTCCTACGAGATCATTTCCGTCATGACCTGTGGCGCCGTGGCCAGCGTGTCCATGTGGCTCATCCTCATCATCAAGATCTCGACCAACGACCTCAGCAACATATGGCCTATGCTGATTCTCTACACATTTGGCGGCTTCATCGCAATCGTCGTTCCCAGTGAGCTGATTCATCACTTGCTGACTACGCTGGCTCGGAGCCGGGACCTGCTTCTGGTGGGCGCCCGCCGGAGTCCGCAGCTCGGCTACCAGCTCAGTGTGTTCCGGGAGACGGTCGGCCGCGACCTGGACACCTTGGGCGACCTGGGCCTGTTCCGGCTGCGCCGATCCACCATCCTGTCCGCCACGGCCACCATCGTCACCTACATCATCGTCATGGTGCAGTTCCGCTACTCCTAAGCGGTGGCGGTGTGTGACAATGACAGCCCAGCGCAACACCGATAAATCCGAACACATTCTAAGAGTTCTTTACAACAGATTAAACATGAAAATCTACAGAAGTGATGAAAAATTATGGTCTACCATCAAGCCTCAAGGTTATATTTGGGAATATCATGAAGTCACCACGCATGCAT